AGCCCGTCCTGTGTGGCAGCAGAAGGGATGCCCAGGCCCCGTGGCCTGAGAACAGCAGAAGGAAGGGCAGCCAAGGCCGGGGCTGCCCAGGCCCTGAGGTCTCCCCCCGCGATGTGAGGAGCCCGAAGTGCGAGGCTGCGGTTCTGTCTTTAGGGCCAAGGCGTGTCGCCAGCTCCAGGGCCTCCCTCCTCAGCCCAGCCCGCCCTCTGGGCGCTGAAGGCCTGCAGGGAACTGCCCAGGGCCAGCAGACAGGCCAGAGCGAGATCCCCGCATGGAGTCCTGCCCTCCCTCCAGACTCCCCCGTCTGGGATCGAGGGTCACCAGGCGAGGAGGGGTGGGTGGCAGGCAGACCACGGCCTCCCTGACTCCCTGCCAACCTGGGTTCCCCACAAAGTTCCAGACAGAACTCAGGCAGCGTCCCTGGCACAGAGGTCCTCACCCTGTCCTTCTGGAACAAGCCACGCTTCTAGATCCTTCCCGCAGAGATGGGGAAACCAAGGCTCAGGATGGACACATCCTGGATGAGGGATGGGAGCACGGCAATCCTCCCTAAGCCCTCCTGTCTCTACCTCCCGGGGCGGTCACCTGCCCAGGTGACACAGCACAGACTGGAGGGGGTACCCCCCATGGCTGGGCCCTGCGCCCCATGTAGGGGACACTCGGGCTCCCCGGGGGCCTCACCCTGTGATCGCACGGAGCTCCCACGGCCACTCGTGCAGTAGATTCACTTAGAGTCGGGCACACGGGCTAAGGGAGGCAAGCCCCCGCCTGCCTGTGAATGGCTGCAGCGGGTCTCAGGTGTGAGGTGCCACCTGGAGCAGTGCCAGCTTGCCCGTCCCCAAGGCTGCACCACGGAGGCAGGAAGACACTGCCCTGGCCTGTGTCCACGTCACCACTGGGCAGGGGCAGGGCTAGGCGGGGGACCTGTCACTCACTGCGCACGCCCACACCACTCAGCCTCTCCTAGCTGCAAGAGAAGCATGCAGCACATCCCAGCACAGGGCCACCCTGCAGGGGCAGTGGCACAAGCGTGGAGTCACCACTTGGCAGGAAGTGCCCGGCTGTGGACAGCCCATGGCCCTACTGTGCAGGGCACGCTCAGCTCTGCCAGCCTCGTGCCTTGGACCGGCCCATGGGGGCCGATGGGCTTTGGTCATGCAGATGTGCATGGATTTCCAGGGGTGGGCGGGGCTTTTGCTGGAGTTAAGAAGGCCCTGATGACAGTGGTGAGCACCCCTAGGCAAGGCGCTGGGGACCTGCCTGTCCGTATTCCTTCTGTGGGTGCCGCCAGCACCTGCTGCTCCCAGCCCGGCCATCAGTCTGCTTCCCAGGCCATTTGTTCGCGATAGAAAGGACAACCGAGCCCAAGGAGGGCCTCACTGAGTCCCTTGGGGGCCAGGGAGGCTTCAGCAAGATGGAGGAGATGCTCCCACCCACCTCCAGGCTGAAAAGCAGCAGGGACCTTCCAGGTGGAACAGCACAGGCAAAGGCTCAGAGGTGGGATGCTGCATGGATGTATTTTCTTGATCAAATTGGAAGGTTACTAGGCCACACAGGTGGACTGCTTTCTGTTGTCAGACCGAGTGGTCATGTAGAACTTGCCAGAGAAAGTATCTCCAAGACGGCGGCCACAAAAGATAGCCCTTAGTGTCCAAGAGTACCGCATGACAACAAACGTACAGGTTGTCATTATTAATGATAGCAAGGGCTCAGCACCACCGCCCCTCACTAGAAGCTGCTGGTGCCCACGCACCCCGACCAGCTTTCAGGGATCCTTACAAAGCCCCTGTGGGTGACACCTGCCCCTGCTGTGTGTGTGTGTGCCTAGCCAGACCACCGCCAGGCGTTTGGGGGACCAACTGCTGACGGTGAATACAGAAGGGAGATCAAGTGGGAGCTCTGAGACTGCAGTCAGCTCTGGCTGACTGAGGAGACCTGGTGTCCAGGACTGGGCACCGCTGCTGCTGCAGCATCGGGGGGTGTCTCTCACAGGGGAGGATGTTACACATGATACATTGATCCACAAGGAGAGGACGTCGCAGAGGTCTCCGGACAACCAACCGTATCGAACGCATCGCTCATGGCCAATGTGTTCTTGCCTGAAACTCAACCTGAGGGAGCCAGAAGCGGCCCCGACTCTTCCAAATGGCAATGTCATCAACACAAAAGTGTGAGGGAGAGCGTCCCACGGGGCAGGGCTGCGTCAACACAATGTGCCAGCCCTTCTCAGATGGTCTCAGATTCACCTACAATTCTGCAGGACGTTTTGGGGGACAACTGAGGCAATGCGCATGTGGGTTATATTTTAGATAATAAATGCTATTGTGTGAAATGTAACTTTTTAGGGGGATACTGGCACTGTTATCTGAGAGGAGGCTCTTGTTCCTGCGAGACCAGTTTTTCCTTTGGCGGCACCACTTGAAGGTGGCATGCATCCCTTCACCCTCCAAATTCCTGAGTGTGCATGGGGGGCGGGGCGGCGGGAGAGGAGGCAGCCACTGAGGCAGAGTGCCAGAGGCTGGGGAGTCGGGCGAGAGGCCACAGGAGTCCCTCCTACCACTCGCTCCACTTCTCTGTAAATCTGGAATTTGCAAAATAGAAAGTTTGGGGGGAGGATATCATGGTAACAGATGTCTTCTTTTTTTGTTGCCTCTACCAAGGTGAGGTCGAGAAAGAGCCCCAGGAAATGGACTTCTGCCCAGGGCTCTGGTTCTCACGGAGGCCATTGTTGGTGGTGACCCTGTCTGTTCCCACTCCCTCTCCCCAGCTCCCAGGACCGGCCAAGTCAAATGACTCTGGGGTTTTCTTTTTTGGTGGCTCAACCTTCAAGTGTGGCCGCTGACCGGACATCCAGGCCAAGTCCTGATGGGCCCATGCACACCCCGCCCCCTCCCCCCCGAGGGCCACGCTGACCCAGGTTTTCAGGAGAAATGCTACCTCTGCCCGCAGCCTCCAGCACAGCTCAGAGGCTCTGCGAACGGGCGTGGACGGCCTTGCCCTGTGGCCCCTGCAGCCAGCGCTCTCTCCCGGGACCGGGGAGGGAAGACGCAAAAAGAGCAACTGTTTCTATTCTCTGCACAGGCTTTAGAGCCCTAACGTTTTTTTAAAAAAAATTAAAATCTTAGACACGAGAGAATAGAGACAGACCCTGGAGACTGAGATCTGTCCCATTAGGCCCAGAGCGTCTGAGGTCCTTCCCAGGTCCTGTGCCCTGCACAAGGGGCCGTGTTTAACATGGGTGTAACATGGGTGTAACATGGATGTAGCATGGAGTGCGTGCCTGTCTTGTGTGCTGGGTTTCAGTCCTATGGGCCAAAGGCTTGGACTGGTGGCATTTGGCTCCTTTCAGAAACCGTGTAGTTTCCTCTTCCCAGGATCCCGCCGGGGCTCCCGGCACCTATGGAGCAATCCAGCCAAAGCCCATTTGCACCCAGAGCCGAAGGAGCAGGAGGCGGTGACTGTGGGAATGCCAGGGGCTGGCGTGGCTGTCATTGGAAGGGCCTCCAGGGGCCATCGCGCCTAGCTGTCCTCTGAGGTCGCCCCCTAGTGAGAGTGGGAGGAATTTCCCCTCGCGGAAAAGTTGTCCCCTGAGATTGACGAACCCCCAGCAGGCCAAGACGCGGCTCCCTCCTCTCCGCCTTCCTGAGACCAACACGAATGCCCCCGTATTTACAATCAGACGCAGTTAGAGACAGCCTTTCCTGGAATACGTATACATAGAGAGAGGTTTGTTAACGAGGAATGCCCTGTCTTTTTGTTCTGAATTAGGAAAAGAACCCACATGGACCTACTGATACCCACTCACATCCACGCACCCCACACCGTGACCCTCACTCATTCGGGTGGCTGCTGCACCAATGGCCATGCCCACCACCATCACAGAAATAAGAGGGAAGTAGTGGTCTACCCTCCCAGCTCCCGGTTTACCTGGACGCGTCCAGTCGCATCGTAAACTGTTAGAACTGGAGATGATAAAACTAAACATGTCTGTAATAAAGTAATAGTGCTATTGGCTTCGGATGATCCCACCGATAGCTTTTCCTTGTGTTGAGAATGCATACCAGTTTAACAGAGTACATGCTTTAAAAAAATGTTTTTAACTGGCAAGCTAAAATGATCCATGTCGCCTTGCCCACCCCACCCCGCCCCCTAAAAATAAGTTAATATAATTTAGAACCTAGCATTTTAAAAGTATGGGCATGACGCATCGGGGAGAAAGGCTGCTCGCAGAACATGCTCGACTTGGCAAGATGATAAATCAGAAACCTTGTGGGTTTTGTTTTCCTGGGTTGTTTGGAAGCAGCCAGAAGCAGGCTATTAACAAAATTGTAGGATGGAGAAAAAGAAATGAATACCTATGCTTTCCTCCACGTCGCATGGCGCCCGCTCACGCACACGCACACACACACAGGCACAGAGGCACACACACACCTACACACAGCCACCCACTCACACCGGGGATGCCCTGGGGGTGGGCGCTAAGGCTCCGCCTGGCGTGCAGCTCTGGGCTGGGTATCGTCTCAGCTGTGTCCCGTGGTCTCGGTGTCACACTGTCCTGGGGAGGCCGCCCACGAGGGGCCGCCGGGGGGAGATGTAAGGCATGTGTCGCTGGTGAGGAAGGAGGAGGAAGAACCCATGCTTCATGCTCAGATGCGCGTCTCAGAGGAGGCCTGGGCAGGCTCCGTCCGGCTGGAAAGGGGGCAAAGAGAGGAAACTGAGAAGGAAGGAAGGACAGGAAGGAAGGACGGTGACAGGACGCCTCTGACGGAGAAAGGGTAATAAATAAACAAGCGAGGAAAGACGTGGGGCCCCGCCGGCGTGGCTCAGGGGCTGAGAGTTAACCTATGACCCAGGAGGTCACAGTTCGATTCCCGGTCAGGGCACAGGCCCAGGTTGCGGGCTCCATCCCCAGTGGGGGGCGTGCAGGAGGCAGCCGATCCATGCTTCTCTCTCATTATGGATGTTTCCATCTCTCTCTCCCTCTCCCTTCCTCTCTGAACTCAGTAAAAATAAAAATTAACAGAAAGCAAGACGAGTGGGGCCGATGGAACGTGACGTGACAGGTGACGGTTTCCGCCGCGGCCCTCCCCGCCCCCGCCCGCCCCCTAGATGGACC